TTATTTTACTTAATATCACAGACCGTAACATTTTAGACATTCAAGGGAGATTAAGGGAGGAGGAGGTGGAATAAGGCTTTTAAAATCTTTGATTACCTCAGAAAACATATTTGCTTACTTTACCAGGAAGTTGGTTTTTTGTTTTGTTTTCTACCTATGCCAGGAGGGGATTAATGAGTAGCCGCTGGGTTTGCCAGCTTTCTTTTGATTTCAGTTTATATAATTAAGCCATTCCCAGAATGACTTGAGGTTCTCCCTGGCCATCAAAACATGCTTCTCAAATGCATTGAGTTGGGGGTCAGCAGTAATCCACACTCACTGAATAGAGGGAGGGGAAAACGAAAAGCTTATCTTGTCCAAAAACATGCCTAATATGTAAAAAGAGTTGGTTTTGCTTTGGGACAGTGGAGCTATAGTGAGAAGAAAGAAGGTTAAAACTAAAGGTCAAAATGGGCTAATGTTAGAATCCTCAGAGTGAGGTTAACCAGAGAAATCACATGGGAAACCAACTCTGGGTTGCTTTTGGATGACTAGCAATGGGAGCCTTGTCTATGGTGGATGTTCAAAAATAAGAAAGCAGGCCCTTAGTGCAGATAATATTTAGACCCAGACACATGTCAGTGTCGATCCTAGCTAGGTAGAGTACCTATCTAGCTAGGAACTCAAGCAACTGAACGTCCTCCTCTCATAATGCTAAGTGGAAGGAACAATGTTTCCTGAGTGCCAGCTAAGTTGCAGGCTTGAGCTTATTTGGGTTGGGGTGTTTAGAAGAATGAGATGTTTTTTCCTCAAAGGGTTGACTGTCTCATTGGGAGGTAAAGACAACTTTCCACTGGCCCAGATGACTGTCCAAGGCTGTCACCCAGTGCTACAGTAGTCTAAGTGGTCACCACTCTCCATATCTTACAGTCAGAAGGCTCCCTACAGCAGGATGATTCAGCTTTAACTCACTCAACAATAAGAACTTGCAGATGCAAATATTAGGCCACCCGTTGGTTCTATTTCTGTCTTATAGCCCTCTGAAGTTTTTTTTTTGTTGTTGTTCTTGTGCCCATATAGTTTTAAATGGAATTGAAGCTGCTTCCCCTTAGGGTCTCTAATTCCTTCAAAAAACAAACAAACAAAGAAGTGCAGGCCAGAAGCTGCAGCTGGTGATGCTTAGATAGGAGAATTGCCTTCTAAGATCCTATCTGGGGGACATTTTTTTTTAAAAAAACTAAAAAAGAAGGGGCATGGTTGAAGTGGTAAAGTGCTTGCTTAGTAAGTAGTAAGGCCCAGTACTAGAAACAAAACAAAACAAAACAAAAACTAAGCCACTAGAATTACCTGCAGCTCCTGCATTCATGAATCATATAGACTTGTAGTAAAATCATAAATTAATGGGTACTTAATTAAAACCTCCACTGACCTTTACTTTGGTGTACATAGGTAGCACCTGGCTACAACAAGGCAAGTAGCATATAGCAGGGCATTTGACTTCATCAATGAAGTTAAAGATAGTTTCCTCCAAGAAAAGACGGCTACACTGAAATCTGGAGGAAAAATGAGTAAGGGATTCATTTTGGGAGAGGAAGGGAGCAAACATTCCAAGCAGTAAAAACAACGTGAGTCAACACCGCGGGCAGAGGGAATGAGGGGTAGCTATAGGAACATGACTCCAAAGATTCTACAGGCCTTGAGTACATCAAAGGGTCTTCTGCTTATTCCAAGAATAATGAGAAGCCTTTAAAAGAATCAATAGAGTAAGAAAAAGATGGGAGATGAATTTGAATCAGAGCTTCCTTTAATCAGAGTCCTTCTGCCTGTAGTGTGTCCAGTATTTGGATGGGGCCTAGAATAAGTGTGGGGAGCATTACTGACAAGGCAATTCAAGAGTTTAGACAAAAGGTGCTCATTGCTTAGCCTGGAGTGGTAGTCATGAAGGTGGTGGCAGTGGAAAGAACTGGATAAGTATGAGAGGTACAAAAAAGTAAAAGCAACGGAGCTTGGTGACCCCTTTCAGGATGAAGGAGAGAGAAGGGTAAAGATGCTTCCGTAGGCACCCTGCTTTTGAAACTGGCTGAAGGTAAAGGCCTCTGCTGGTGATGGAATGTGTTGGGACATGTTATATTTGAGTGCTTTGGGGGCATCTGAAGAGAGGTCAGACATGAGTTTGGATACCAGGTTTGGAACTCAGAGGAGAATTCCAAGACAGAGGTTCTAAAGGCAGGTGTCATCCATGAAGAGGACTTTGGAAATGGTGGATGTAGATGAAATTACTCCATGAGGAAGGCCTAGGGAGATTTCAGCACTTCACAGCAGGGAGAGGAACGTCTACGTCAGTGGCAGAAAAGTGATCACTGAGAGATAGTCATTCTTCAGAGGTCGCACTGCCAGTGAGTAAAGGAGTCAGCATGAGACCTCTTCTTTCTGACTCCACAGTCCTTCTACTTAATGCTACATGTGTAGTGTTGGTAGAATAAAAAGCGTCCAAGAGGAGGAGGAAAGGAGTTTCTTTAGAGAGATATTGCTTCTTTCAAATACAGCTAAGGAAGTCCACCCTTGTTGCTACAGCCCAAGGTCAAGGGCAACAGAGTAGGCATTTCATTTGTTCTTCCTGATCGAACGGTTCCATTAGGGTGGGCAGTGTTAGAGGAGTAAGGCAGCTAGATCTACCATGTTAAAGGCTGGCCTAAGTACTCCAGGGAAGTGGTTTTTAAAGAATGGCTTCCAGACCAGCAGCATCCCCTGGGAATTCATTACAGATGAGGATTTCTTAGGCCATACCCCAGATCTTCTGAATCAGAAACTCTGGGTGAGGACCCCAGAGAACCATATTCTCATGAGCGTCGGTGTGATTCTAATGCACACATTTGAGAGCTCTTGTTCTCAGGGGAAACCCTGAAAAGGAGAGGGGAAAAGGAATAATCTATAGTCTTTAAACTGCCTTGACAGAATCCAAATGGATGAATCTGTGATCCTCGTCATCCCTTGCTATGCAATGGGATCACTGTAGAGCATTAACTGTGATGGGGACCTGATTTCAACCTTCAGAGATGTCCAGATCCTTGTGGTGGTGTCTTAAGCTTTGGTTTTTGAAATGAGTGTATGAAAGGGGGAAGGGATGGTTGGATGGACCTGGGTGTGGTGGCACACACCTGTAATTTTAGTTATTCAAGAGACTGAGAGCCAAGGATCACAGTTCAAAGCCAGTGGTTCAAAGCTAGCCTGGGCAGAAAAGTCCATGAAATATTTATCTCCAATTAATTAGCAAAAAGCCCGAAGTAGAGCTGTGAATTAAGTAGTAGAGCACTAACCTTGAGTGAAAAAGCTAAGGGTAAGTGCCCAGGCCCTGAATTCAAGCCCCAGTACTCATACACACATACACATATACATATGGTTAAATTGAAAGCAGGCCTTGAAGTGGAAGCAGATGGAAGAGAAGTTCCATGATTAAGGAGGTTAAGGCAGTTAGGATGAATAATTGTGGACTTACAAAAGTGATGAATGAAGTAGATGTGAGGATTACAGTTCGAAGCCAGCCTAGGCAGGAAAGTCCATGAGACTCTTACCTCCAGTTAATCACAGAGAAAAGCTGGAAGTAGAGCTGTGGCTAAAAGTAGCAGAGTGATAGCCTTGGGCAAAAGCCCTGAGTTCCAGGACTTGCACACACACACACACACACACACACACACACACACACGTATCACAAATAGGTTTTACTTAGTTGAATGGAAAATCATCTCTACCAGCAAGCTTCACTTAGACTATATTTATATGTTAAGAATGCAACCTGCTGGTTGGCCCCTCAAACCTTCAATTAACCTACTTCCCCAGCTGATCTGGTCACTTCCCTGTCTCCTAAGGATGTTCACTCTGTCCCCACATCCTGGACCTCCCTCCACACCCCCCTCCCCACACATACACCTTCTCTTTCTTTCAAGGCCTGGCTTCATCTAGAATCCTCCATGGCCTCTAGTTTGGAGCTGACCTTTCTCAAAAATTTCACAGCACCCAATGTCTTTACTGCACTCAGATCTTGTTTGTGTTTTGAATCCTCCTGCTCATTCCCTATCTGGATTCCTGGATTATAAGACTTCAGGGCAGCTACCACTTGTTCTTTCTGGCATGCTGCCTAACATCCCACGCAGATGCTAGTCATTTACAAAATAATAATCAAGGAATTGTGCTAGCTGAGCACCAGTGCCTCACTTGTAATCTTAGGTACTCAGGAGGCTGAGATCTGAGGGTCACAGTTCAAAGTCCGTGTGGCTCCTATCTCCAATTAACTAGCAAAAGAAGGCAGAAGTGGTGCTGTGGTTGACCTGATAGAGCACTAGTCTTGAGCAGAAAAAGCTAGCAGATAAAGCTAAAGGACTGTGCCTAGGACCTGAGTTCAAGCTCACTGTTTCTTGTATTTTCTAACTTCTGGTGCTTCTCTTTGGTTTATGGCTACAATACTTTAATCTCTGCTTCTTGGGTCACATTGCTTCTTCCTCTCTTCCCCCCACCTCTTATGAAGACACTTGTGATTGCATTTAAAGCCCACCCTGGTAGCCAGCCCATTCTCTTCTCAGATCTTGAAATTAATCACATCTGCACAATCTTTTCTTCCCTATAAGGTAACATTTACACATCCAAGGTTATGTGTGATTTATTTGGAGAACCATTATTTAATCACACATGTAAAAGTACTTAGCATCTCCATAAAGGAAGCGTTTTGTCCAGAGCCATACCCAATTCAAAAATTCAGTTCTACTTTGTGTCAATTCAGGCTTCTTCCACTAGAGCAAGCTGATATCCACAAAAAGAAGAGAGCTGCTTTGAAATAACACATGACACCTCATTTGTGTGAATCATCCCTTTGTCTCCTTGCTGGATCATGTGCTACCAGCATCCACTCACCTTTGGGCATTCCTTTAGGTTCACTTGTGACTATCTTAGATCAGACCACAAGATGCTGGCCTGTAGAGACAGTTGTAATGAAGTGACCTCAGTGTCATTTTCTTCTCTCCTTTCAGGACCGCCTCTTTTTCGTCATGGAATATGTAAATGGTGGAGACCTCATGTTCCAGATTCAACGTTCCCGCAAATTCGATGAGCCTCGATCACGGTTCTATGCTGCAGAGGTCACGTCTGCCCTCATGTTCCTTCACCAACATGGAGTGATATACAGGTAGCCTCTTCTCTCCTTTGACAGTAAAAAAACAATAATAATAAAACCATCCCCTGTTGGCTTTTGCCCAACTGCTCTCTCAGCAACCCGTTTTAGCTTAGTTGTTTGTTCCAATTTGCTTACAGAGGAACTTTTTTGGTGGGCTGTTTATCATCATGAATGTTAATATTTGAATGGCCCCGGGAGATTTGACCAACTGTTTGTGCCAGTTTTGATTTAAAGCTCAAGCATGACATTTAAAGGCTTGGCGCCGAGCGACCTTGGGGCAACCTTCATTTCGTTCTCTTTCCCCACCCTCTTCCTTGAAGATCAGGGCATTCTCTTGACTTCTTCCTTCTGTGCCCTGGACTTCCTCCCCCTTTCCGATCTTCTGCCACTTCCTGAGTTTGTTTGGCTTAGTTGCCTCCAACTGATAGAATCAGGGAAGGAGGAGTTGCTTGGAGGTCTTGGGGGTTAGGATCTAGAGTGGGGGGTGGGGAGTGGGAACTAGACATTATCCAACAGGAAGTGACTTTTTTCAGATCCCTTAGTTTTTTATTACTGCTCAATCCCCTTCCAAGAAACACACACACACACACACACACACACACACACACACACACACACACACACACACACACACACACACACACACACACACACACACACACACACACACACACACACACACATTTTCCAGTAAGAGAGTAGGACTATTTACGTAGTCTTTTCTGTGAGGTCAGGAATTCTGGAATTCTGGGAGAAGTAAGTATTTATAATTAGCCACAGGAATACTGAGGTTCCTTCAGGTTTTTTCATTTCTTTTTTTGTTCCAGTACTGAGGCTTGAACTCAAGGCCTAAGTACTATCTCTTGGCCTTTTCACTCAAGCCTGGCACTCTACCACTTGAACCACACCTAATGGCTTTATGGTGGTTAATTATAGATAAGAATCTCATGGACTTTCCTGCCCATCCTGGCTTTGAACCTCAACCCTCAGATCTCAGCTTCTTAAATAGCTAGGATGGCAAGCATGAGCCACTAGTTTCTGGCTAGGTTTTTAATCACTGACTGTCTAAATTTACTTGCTCTTCACGTCCCTCTTTTTTTTTTTTTCTTTTTAATTGGGTGGAAGAGTGGCTAGCTTGATTTAACCTAGCATTAGTCACTTGCCTAAGCATATATGATATGCGTCTGGGAGCAAAGAAAATCATGTCTAGCTGTTGTTTGGAGGGCTCTGGTCAAACTCATCTCATGCTTCTGTTCTTCCTACTATTTCTTAGCTCCCTAAAGCAAGGAAAATATAGTCAGTGGTTCCCTTACAGGCCATATGACCAAGCCCATGATTTTTAGCCTGCTGTCATGGCCTGTATTGAGGAGACCCAAGTCAGTGCTTTCTATTGCTGTATAGCCCATCACCACAGGCTTAAAGGTTTAAATCAATGCCCTACATTGTACCTTGCAGCTTCTGTGGCTGGAGAGGACAGGTATATCTCACCTGTGTCCCCCAGGCTAGGGTAGATGGATAGCCAGGCTGCCTGCCCATTTGAAGACTGGGCTCCTTTTCCAAGCTTCTGTGCTGATGGCAGTATCCTTGTCTTTAGAGCTTTAGAACGCACACGACTGGCTCAAGGCTAGCAGAAGAGTTTTCTTCCTTCAAGTCTCTAATCTCAGGGAGGACCTGGACCTTTTCATGGGCTCTAATCAGGCCCACCAAAATAATGTCCTTTTTGGTTAAACTCAAAGGCAAATGATTGAGAGACTTCATTGTATCTATGAGATCTTGGTGCCCACTCTGGGTGTGGTGAGTGATATATACCTATGATCACATTTACTTCAGGAGGTTGAGGTAGGAGAATCATGTGAGCCCAGGGACCCTGTCTCAAAAAAAAAAAAAAAAATTCCCTAGGTGGCTCAGTGGTAGAGTGCTTGCCTTGCATGCATGAGGCCCTAGGTTCGATTCCTCAGCACCACATAAGTAGAAAAAGCCAGAAGTGGCTCTGTGGCTCAAGTGGTAGAGCACTAGCCTTGAGCTGAAGAGCTGAGGGACAGAGCCCAGGCCCAGAGTTCAGGCCCCACAACTGACCAAAAAAAAAAATTCCTTATCCCCTTTGTCTTGTTCTATTGGTCAGTGGTAGATCACAGGGTCTCCTTACATGAGAGAGAGATCCTGAGATCATAGTAGGCCCACTGAGATTTACCTTCTTTACTTTCCATGGTATTTTTGTGACTTAAACTCATTACGGTTAATGAGTCCTTACACTCACAATGTGGCCCAGCTTTTCTGTGCTTGTGCCCTCCCCTTGCCCCTTCTCTATATCCAACTGCCTCTGGCCATACTGCCTCTGGGCCTAGTCAGTGCTGATAGCCTCCTCCGGTCAGCGGTTACTGGTAAACAAACTACAGTTGAAAAGTTGATCAGGAAGTACCTGGTGTCTGGTTAGATGCCAGTGACAAGAACAACTGTGATTCTTGGGATGGATGTCTTCCCTACACCATCTCTGTTAGAGTAGGGAGAGTCACTCACATTTTACTAGAGGGACACAGTTGCAAATGTAAGAAATGGAGGGGAAGGGGAAAAAATCATTTAAATAGGGATACAGGTGGACTCATTGCAACAATGAGATGTACAAATCGTTATTTCGAAAAAAACGAACTTTACAACTTTGGCTGGGGGTGGGGGTGGGGGGGAGTAGGTGGGGGATGGGAAGGGGAAACTAAGGAGGAGGCAATGTACTCATTACCTTGCCCATGTAATTGTAATCCCTCTGTACAGTATTTTCACAATAAAAAAAAAAAAAAGAATAAAAGCCATGACAACCCTAGGAAATGTAATGACTGATCACCTGATCAACTCCTGTTTACCATGACACTTCTTGCCCTAGCTTTTCAGACTCCAGCTACAGACTCTGAGCTTGATATTCCAGGTACTGACCTAGGTACTTGACCTTCTTTTGTGTTTCTGCTTCCTCTCACAATGCCTGTAACTACTTTGGCTCCATTGGCTTATATGAGTATGTGAGTCATTCTCGTTTCTCTCTCTCTCTCTCTCTCTCTCTCTCTCTGTCTCTGCCTCTCTGCCTCTCTCTGCCTCTCTCTGCCTCTCTGTCCATCTCTTTCTTCCTGCCATCTACCTGACCATTTCTATATCCTGTCTATATCTTACCCAAACAGGCTCCTTTCCTCATTGGCCCCGTTCTCTAAATTCTAGTTTCCTTAAGGCCTGCATTCCTCTTTATTCTTGCCCTATGTAATCTCTCTGGGCAGTTTCAATTGTTCCATGACTTAAAATGAGTCCTATGTGCCATTGACTTTCATATCTATGCACCCAGCCCCAAAATGAGCTCTTCCTCTTGAAGTCTGACCTTTTAAGACTTCCTTCCTTCCTTCCTTGGCTGCTTAATAGCAGTTTCCTAACTGATTCACTTACTGCCTCTTGGTTTTCCACCCCTCTAGTCTGCCCTCTTTCTCTCCCTCCCCATTGCTGCTCAGTATTCTTTTAAAGCAGATTATTATATGTCCTCTTCTTATCATTCTTTAGCCCCTATAAGATAAAACCCAGACTGCTCTGTGATCTAAAACTTCTTGTTGTCTCATCCTCAAACTGCAGTGTACATGGCTCTGTGGTTTGGGTGCAGCATAAAGTAAAAGGTGCAGGTGTGGGTGGGAACAGTAGCCAGCCCCAATCTAGCTGTGTGGGTTGCTGCAGCACCAAGAAAGGATGTATTCTCCATCCAGAGGAAGTCTTCATGTGTCTTCATTTTGTGCTGCTATCACAGAATACCTGAGACTGACTAACTTATAACATAGAGAAGTTTATCAGCTCACAGTTCTGGAAATCCAAGATCTAGGTGCTGACAGCTGAGGAGGGCATGCTTGCCGCATTGTAAAATTTGTGGGAGGCATCATCTGGCCCAAGGGCAGAGTGGTGGAGGGAGAGGAGGGATGGGGTTGAAGCTGTGAGAGCATACTCCCTGCTGTAATAATGACATTAAGCCATTGGTGAAGGCTGAGCCCTAAATACCTCTTAACGGTCCCCATTACAATGACAGGACAAACACTCAAGCCAACCACATAATGCCCCTCACATAAGACATAAGACATAAAACATTTGCTCACAGGGCCCTGTTGGCCCCTGATGAAGTTTTGACCCTTAACAGCATTTGTCTTAGCACATATCCCACCCTCTAATTACTCTAGATTACCTGACTTTACCTCAGATACCAAGCTCTTCCATTTCTCTAGGCCTTTGTTCCCAATGACCCTTGTGTTGATCCATGGTTCCAGAACACATTAAAGTGAACTCTGATTATATCAGAAGCCTCAATTAAAATAAAAATGCAAGTTCCATAATACTGGGATAGATAGGTATATAGCTGAGAAAAGAATGACTGGGAGTTGGTAATTGCGGAAGTGGGATGATATTGCTGGTCACCCTTCATCAATTTGTGTGTATTTCATCATAGTAACAGCAAGCAGATTCCAGTTAATACTCAGAGCTTTTCATCATCGATTGGTGTAAGGCTCAGGAGTCTATGTGATTTTTTTTTTTAGGGTGATTTGGGTACTAGAAAAAAAATTCTATTCTGCCTCCAGGACTCTCCCATGTGCTCCAGCTTTGAGCAGCTTTCTCAGACAAACCAGCCTGTTGGGAGATTGTGCTTCTACTAAGTAACACGTCATCTCTGTATGTGCGTTGAGCAGGTCCTCTTTGCTACCCTTGTACTTTGGCTTCTGATGTTGTTCTGTAATGGAGAGCTGCACGTGAGAATTCTCACCTGGGTGCTCTAAGATAACCCTTGCTTATAGTTAGTGTTCACTTTACATTTGTTCTGCTCTGTGCTTCTCTGTAGCCCTCCAGCCCATGGACGTGCTTCTTCATAGGGTTGTACTCCTGGAAAATCTGTTTGAAGCATACACAACATAGACATTTTCCCCCTCGACTCTGCAGGACACTTGGTTCCTCCTTATCTCTTTCCTTACAACTCATGAGGACCATAGGATTTGCCTCTCCCCTGTGGC